TGTACAAGTGAATAGTTAGTTGAACTCAGTAGCAAATTGGCACGGCACTGGGTTCGAGTCCTGGAGTAAACATCAACGGACACCCTGGATTTCACTTTTAGTCACACTCCGTTTATTGTATATCAACAAGTAGTGTTGTGGTGTATGCTACTTATGCTGGTGAATATAAATAGCATGTAACACCAATCAGAAGTGGAATGTCTGTCAAAAAAGGATTGAGAAGATTGAACAAAAAAAAACCGAAAAGGAAACAAGAAGGAATAGAACTAAAAACAGAGTTAGAAGAATTATGAAGGATGCGCACTGCCGAATCATCCCATACTAGGACGAAACAGCCATCCAGCACGTCCAGGTTTTCAATGGTGGTCTAACATTGATCGATTCATAATGTCAATCAAAAACTTAACAATCTCCACAACACTACACAGATAATATGTTTCAATTTTTTTCTCTTAAAAATTAAAGGCATTTCCTGACGATGCAGGTGAATATACTTGTGAAGCTGAAAATATTGCAGGTCGTGCACAAAGTACTGCAAATTTAATAGTACGTGGTCGTTTAATGACACCAAGATTTATTAAAGGACTTGAAAATCAAATAATATATGAAAGAGAATCAGTTCGATTAATTGTTAAAGTAGATGGACATCCACCACCAACAGTTACATGGTAAGATTATTTACACTATTTAAAATGTGTATGGTAATTATTTTGGTTATTTTGTTAAATAATTGTTCATTTTCATTTGAAATGTACTTTTTTCTCTTACTTACTTACGCCTATTAATCCCAATGAAGCACAGGCCACCGACCAGCATTCTCCAACCCACTCTGTCCTGAGCCTCCCTTTATAGTTCTATCCAATTTGTGTTCATCCTTTTCATGTCTGTCTGCGTTTCTCGGCGTAATCTGTTCGTTAGTCATCCACTTTTCCTTTGGCCTTGAGGATTCCATGTGTGGGCTCGCCCTGTGGCGTAGATGGGTGAATTCTTCAATGTGTGTCCTATTCACTTCCAGCGTTCCTTCCTGATTTCTCCCTCCGCTGGAATCTGGTTTGTCCTCTCCCACAATATGTTGTTGCTGATAGTGTCTGAACAACGGATCCGAAGTATTTGGCGTAGACAGCTGTTAATAAACACTTGTATCTTCTGGATGATGGCTTCCATAGTTCTTCATGTTTCCGCTCCATACGGTAGAACTCCCTTGACACTTGTGCTGAAAATTCTGGTCATGGTGTTGGTTGATAGTTGTTTTGAGTTCCAGATGTTCTTCAGTTGTAAATATGCTGCTCTTGCTTTGCCGATCCGCACCCTCATATCTGCATCAGATCCACCGTGTTCATCAATGATGCTGCTCAGATATGTAAAGATTTTTACATCTTCCAAAGCTTCTCCGTCAAGTGTGATTCGATTGGTGCATGTTGTGTTGTATCGGAGAATCTTCCTTCTCCCTTTGTGTGTATTGAGACCTACTGCCGCTGAGGCTGCTGCTACATTGGTCGTCTTATCCTGCATTTGTTGTTGCATGTGCGATAGAAGATCCAGATCATGTGCGAAGTCTATGTCGTCCAGCTGCATCCTGGATGTCCACTGTATCTCATGCTTCCCTCCCAGACGTCGACATTTTTTCTCACTGACTGAAAAACAGTTTTAACTTAATTTTTTATATCAAATATAACTTGGATACAACAATAATGATTACATTAATTGAATTTTATAAGTGATTAATAAGTTGAATTTCATTTATTTAATTCAAAAACAATGTTTAGTTTTTTCAAAAATGATTTGGTCTATGGAATTTCCGGGTAAAACGTTTCTAAATTAATCGAATTTTCATTATAAATGAACAATAATGAAATATCAGAAGGGATTTTTGTGGATATTGTAGTAATTTCAATGGTTGAGATCATAAGTCAATTGAAGCTGGACTATCATGGAAAACCTGGAAGCACTGGACAGCCGTTTCGTTCTATTGTGGGACTCCTCAGCAGTGCTCGTCATCAGCTTCAATTGACGCATGATCTCAACTATTGAAATTACTACAATATCCACAAAAACCCCTTCTGATATTAATCAACATATGCTCAGTAGTGACTGGCTTCAATAAGTATTTCCTGGAGTTCTAGTGAGAAGCAGTGACGAGTGGAGTTCGACCGGGTCTGTCGTGAGATAGTAACTCATCGATGACACTGGTAGATCTGTCACTCAATTTCGTGAATTGGTTAAGACAAAACATTAACACCGTTGGACACCGGCTGGCTCAGTGGTGTGGAGGTTAAGCGTTCGCACACGAGGCTGGTATGTCCTGGGTTCGAACCTCTGGTTACAAAGAAGAGATAATCTGATTAATGAGCAATAGTTTCCTGGAAAATTTAATACAAATATATCATTTAGTTGTATGCTGTACCCTCTCGATGAACAGAATGATCAAATCCATATGTCACATAATACATTATTTACAAAATTAATTCTTTTAAATATTTCAGGACTCGTGATGGTCATGAAATTACAAGTTCTCCAAACTATATACTTGAATGTGAAGGTAATGGTATTTATGCACTCAACATACCTGAAGCATTCTTTGAAAATTCTGGTCGTTATGCTGTAATTGCTGAGAATCCAGCTGGAAAATGTATTTCTTCTGGTTTGTTAACTGTTTTAGGTAAGTCGTTCTGTAATAATATGAATAAAAATTAAGTAAATAATATGATGTTGAAATGATGATAATTTGCATCTCATTTATATGCTCTTAAGTAATATTGTACTTTATAAAATAGCTGTCACATAGCGGCTTAGTAAATTATGAAAATCATACATTAAATACATTCTTTGAAATTCTTATTTGCTCTGTCCTTTACATACTCCATTATACCTCTAATTCTGTTGTAATTTTGATTACTCTCACATGTGGTCTTGAGTGCTGTTATAGGTATGAGGGCGGTTATCACTTTTCGGTTGCCCACACCGTGGAAGGGTTCTTCTGGAGGTGCCTGAAAAGGAAATTGGATTAGAGGTGGTCTTAGTGACCTGAGAGCGTGACCGCAGTGCCCAGGGGACAACTGCTCTAGGTCGGTCACGCAAGACCTTTTTATGGGTAATTTTTGTGTTAGCTCCGTACTTGTTGAAACCTTACCGCCAGAGACGGATATCCGTGGGATAAGGCGAGGTGTGCATTTTTAGGGCCGACCTTTTCTAACCCCACCCCTCCTTGTGGGAAGGCAGCATCGCTGTCATGCTGGTTGTCTGAAGGAAACACCTTACTGCCTCCACACCTCTGTACAGTCAGTAGTACGACTTCGCCTTCGGACCTTAAGGTTTGTCGCTTTTAGTCGTACCGCCCTTCAACCGACCTGTCTGACATGGTAGGACCTTGAGGGACGGTTGTTCCAGCCAGTATAGCTCGGTTGCTTCATCACGATAGGCAAGCCCGACCACCACCCCAAGGTAGCAATCTTCTGTCACCAGGCATTGAACTTCCATTTGGTGCTACATACTACTTGTATCTGTCAGCATAAGTAGTATGCACTACAGAAATAATTGATTTAATACTTTTTTCAATATCGATTTGTATATTGTACACTGCTAAACTAACGATTTTATTTAAATAGTCATCAATAATTTGAATAAGTTTAACTTCTAATCATTGGGTTTAGTATAGATGACAAGTCTATAATGGTATGTGTTGCATTAAGTCAACTAGTACACCAATATCATGCATACCTTGAAATATCCAAAACATGAATAACCCAACACACCAACTATCGTTCAAGGGTCTATGGTTATAACTTAAAGACAATTGTCCCTTTTTTAAAACTTAAACTCTTTTATTTCTAATTCTTTTACAGAACCAGAAAGACCTTATCCTCGTGAATTAGATAAGTTATGTCTAAGCCAGTTGACAGTGCAAGTAGAAGGTCTAAAACAAGTTCAAATACCATCTCCAGAACCTCGACCGTACCCAGAGAAGCCATATTTCACAAAAGTACGTCAATTATGAATATTTGTTTATTGATCAGATATTTGTGATTCACTTCAGTTGTGACTGAAGTGAAAATGGTTATTTTTATTTATTATGTATTGAGATGCATATATTTTACTGACACTTGCCGTACTGCAATTGATAAAACTTGTCCAATTTACTTCACTGAATGAGTTAAATTCTGGATATTTTTTGCTTAACCCTAATTCGTACTTTTATTACAGAAAAAAAACTTAGTTTCACTATCAAGATTAATCCATTCATAATATAAATCAGTAATCAATTGGAATTTCTGATTACCCATACATAATAGTATTAAATGAATTGGGATATTTACTGTTTTACTACATTCCAAGGTAAATTTTGTCTTGGCTAAAAAACCTTTTGACGAATAGATCGACATATTGATTAACGTGAAGTCTAGTATATTAGTTGATAGGCTAATGAATTCCACTCTCGAACAACCCTAAGGTTTAGGCAATCTTACTCTTAATTCAGTCAATATGACATAGTGAGCAGTAATTCTCTTTGTATTACTTGATGATTGTTTATTATGACCTATGAAGTTAACAGACAAGTTTATTTTACTAGCATCTGATTATACATGTTTCTTGTGCACTCTGAAATCACAGGATGTTAATACATTTCCGAATGCAAGATGATTTTAACACGGCTAACATGAAGATATCAAAATTGTCATCAAACCTACACCAAAACTGGGCTATTTTTTCACTTCGGTCGTAGTGTAGTGAAGAAGAACACGGGTGAGGACAGCCAAATTGTATTTAGGACAAATTACAGAATTACTTGGTAAAATAGAAAAACCATATAGTAAATCGTTAATTTGCAAAATATCATTCTATCATATCAAACCGGGCTGTTGCTGTTGCAAACATCAATCCATTGTCTCGCATTTCATTGCTCATGCGATTTCTTACAAATTCCATTGTTTTCTCGCTCTTCTTTTCTTGATCTTCTCCATCTTCTGCTGCCAGCCATTACGTTCTTTTGACTCACGTTATATACTACTTATATCAATATAAGTAGCACGCACCACACTCGTCCCCCCTTTTAACAAGTTGCTGTCGTAGTCTTTCTGATCTCCGTACCGCTGTGTTCTTTGGTGCTTTTCGTGATTCACACTCATGATGATCTTGAAACCATCTCTGTAGCTGACTAGCATTTACGCGCTTCTGCTTGTCTTCTCTCCGGATCGTGTAGACCGAGCCGCGTCTCTCCGTAATTACATACGGTCCTTCCCATTTTGGAGCCAGCTTCCCCGACCCTGCTCCCCCTGCTATGTTACTTTTTCGTTCTCTACACTTTACTAGGTCCCCCACTGCAAAGGGTTTCCACGTTCTCCTCTGTTGTTCTGCCTTCTTTGTGTCTGATATTTGTTTCTTTTCCACGTTCCTTATTGCCTCTCTCCTCTCTTTTCTTAACCTTGTTGTCGTCCACTTCTGTTGTTGTGGCCAGGTCTTATTATGCATTGGAAGTCGTGGTTGTCTGCCATACATGAGCAAGAAAGGTGACTTCTTGGTTGTTCCTTGTGTTGAGGAACGATGTGCCAGCAAAATCAATGGTAACTCTTTCTCCCAATTTCCTCCTTTTGATGCTAACCATTCCTTTAACATCCGATTGTTTCTCTCTGTAAGCCCGTTTGTCTGAGGATGATATGGTGTAGTTCGTATTCTCCTGATGCCAAACTGCTTTAAACGGGCTTTAAACTCGTCACTTTCAAAACAGGGACCCTGGTCAGTTAATATCATCTTCGGTATTCCGTGACACGCTACAATATGCCGGATTACCACCTCGGTCACTGTCCTTGCCCGCTGGTCTGCAATGGGTACGGCATCTACCCAACGTGTGGCATGTTCCGTCATCACTAACAGATACTGGTTACCGCTCGCCGTCTGTGGAAACGGTCCCATCACATCAACCGACCATAGATCACCGACTGCGGTTACTGGGATTGACTGTAATGGCGGTTGTGTGTATCGATCGCTTTTCATTAACTGACACTGCTGGCAGGTTAACACGTATTCAGCCACATCGTCTCTCATGCTCGGCCAGTATGCACTTTGTCGTAGTAAGTCCGTCGTTCTTGCGATGCCTGTATGTGCTACCTGGTGACACTCGTGTATCACTTTACGCCGCCAGTCTTTCGGGATCACCGCCACCCAATTTTCATCATCGTCCTGCCAGGTCAGCACTCCATATGAGTTCACTCTCAGTCGGTCCTTTTGCCGAAGCAGCGTTATTACCTCCTTGTCCATTGTTCGTTTATCTACGTCTGCTCCCTCTTTTATCACTCTGATTACCTCTCGAAGGTTAGGGTCAGCTTTCTGCTGCCGGACGAGTTCTAATGGGTCTCCCTCTAAACTATTCACCGCGTATGCTGTTAATGGCAGGTCGTCTTCCATGTCTGGTCTTGACAAGTAATCTGCCATTACGTTTTCTTTTCCTGGAACATGGCCGATACTGAAATCGTATTCTTGCAGGCGTATCATCCATCGCGCCAACTTCCCTCGGGGGTCTCTTGCTGTTTTCAACCACTGCAGGGGTTTATGGTCCGTCTCAATGTGAAATCGTCTACCTAAAAGGTATGGTCTCCATTTTTCCACTGCCCACACGATCGCTAAACACTCCTTTTCGATGGTTGAATACTTCTGTTCAGCAGGTGTGAGGACGCGACTCGCGTATTCCACCACTCTATCAGCCTGACTCAACACAGCACCTATACCATGATCACTCGCGTCTGTGGCCACTGTAAACAGTCTTCCCGGTTCAGGCAGTCTAAGCGTCATCTGGCGATCGTCTAGCATGTTTTTGATTCGGTTGAACGTTTGTTCGGCAGTCTCAGTCCACGTAAACTTGGTGCTGCTCAATAACTTATATAAGGGTGCTGCTATTTCGTTGAAATTTTTGACAAACCGACTGTAGAACGCCGCTCTTCCCAGGAACTGTCTCAACTTCCTTTTCGAATTAGGTACTGCAATATTTTTTATGGTAAGAATTTTCTCCGGCAATGGTTTTATTTCTCCATTTCCCACTTTATGTCCCAACAATGTGACGCTACTTTTCGCTATCTGCGACTTGTCCTTATTAATCCGAAGTCCAAATTCGTCAATTCGCTTTAAGACTGCTTCCACATGTTTGATGTGATCTGTTTCTGTTTGACTGTACACAACTACGTCGTCGCCATATACCTCGACATTATCTAGATTCTTGAGCAGTAGTGTCATTAATCTTCTGAACGTGAACGGTGCACCCGCCAACCCGAACGGCATTCGTTTAAATTGATACTGTTTATCCCGTACAGTAAACGCTGTCTTGCTCCGATCACTCTCTTTTATAGGCAGTTGCCAATAACCTGACCGTAAATCCAGCACTGTAAACACCGTGGCATTCTGTAGCCGATCTAATGTTTCCACCACTGTTGGCATTGCACAAGGCTTCAGGTCTGTTATATTATTCAATTCTCTGAAGTCGACACAAAATCTATACTTTCCATTTGGTTTCTTTACCAAGAGTACCGGCGAGCTATATGGGCTGTCCGCTTCCTCAATTATACCTTCTTTTAACATTTCCTGGACCTGACGATTTACCTCGGCCTCTAAATGCACCGGGACACGACGTGTTGCAAATATATTTACTCGACTGTTCTTTATCGGTATTTCGTGCTTTACTCTGTCACAAAATCCATACGGCCCCCCATCTCCAGTGAATAGTTTCGCATACTTTTTGCATAACTCGTGAATGTTTGGTTTCTTTGACGAGACATCCGCTGCAACTCTTATTTCAGCCACTTCGCTACTTTCGTGTATTGTCAATGAACCATATTTCGTGACCACCTTACCGCTTCTTAAGTCAACTATCGCTTTTACTTCTCTTAGGAAATCTGCTCCTAATATCGGTCTCGATAAGCTTGTGGTTACGACGAACGGAAAATTTATCTCCGCATCCCCCACTTTTACGATACTGTTAGATACACCAAACACCTCTAACATATGGCCCCCTATCGTGTGGACAGCTAATGTACACGGCTTGATTCTCTTACATTGTTCTTTGCCTATTAACGATACTGCTGCACCTGTATCGATCAGACAAACTAAATCTCGCTCATTTATGTTCACTCTCGTATATACTGCCCCTCTGTCTACTAACGCAACAATCCCCAGATTCCTAGGATAGAAAGAACACTCGTTGTATCGTCTAACATATCTGCGTCTTCGTCTTGTTGGACAGTTTATCTTCCAATGTCCTGTCCCTCCACAAGCGTAACATTTATCGTTCCTTTTATTGTTCACTCGTATTGCTGCAATCTCACGCTCCAGCTCCTCAATCTTCTTCTCGACATTACTCATCTCCTGCTTTCCGCACCCGACCGGAGCTACTGTTCGCGTCATCAGCTGACGAGTCACCTTCGCCAGTTCACTGATATCCATCGGTTGCGCTGCGTTCACCAGTTTCAGCTGTTGGGAGACGGCGGCAGGCACACTCTCGATAAACTGCGACGCCAACAACTGTGCCTCCGACTCCTCATCCAGACTCGGCAGCGCACGGCGTAACAATCTGGTAAGCTCCACAGCCAGCACCAGTAGGTCCCCATCGACCGGCAACCTCGCCAACCGGAACTTCTGCAGCGCGTCCTCTCTGTCCACTGGGCTGTCAAACTCCGCCGCCAACCGCTCCGTGACTGCCTCCCATGTGGTCTTCCCGCCAGCACCGTCCAGGCTGTCATACACCGCCTTCGCCCTGCCTCTCAGCAGCGTCCCCAGCACCACCAACTTCGCCTTCGGCTCCTTCACTCCCACCAGCTCCGCCACGGCCTCAAACTCCTTCAGGAAGCTCAGCACATCTCCGTCCTCAAACTCCTTCGGCCATGGGATCTTCATCCTCAGTGGAGGCAGCGACACCAAATGTAGTGAAGAAGAACACGGGTGAGGACAGCCAAATTGTATTTAGGACAAATTACAGAATTACTTGATAAAATAGAAAAACCATATAGTAAATCGTTAATTTGCAAAATATCATTCTATCATATCAAACCGGGCTGTTGCTGTTGCAAACATCAATCCATTGTCTCGCATTTCATTGCTCATGCGATTTCTTACAAATTCCATTGTTTTCTCGCTCTTCTTTTCTTGATCTTCTCCATCTTCTGCTGCCAGCCATTACGTTCTTTTGACTCACGTTATATACTACTTATATCAATATAAGTAGCACGCACCACAGTAGTTATTGCTACTTTAATTTTGTTCAACTAACGTTTCTCAGACTAATGTAACGTGACAGAACACTCAATGTGTTCAAATAAAACGCCTAAAACCATTCCCATCACGTAGAAAAGTGCGGCCTGCTTGAGCATCTGGGCTACCTGTTCCTGCCATCTAGATATTTCAACAAGTTATCTATTTTTGTTTGTTTTAATATATCATTATGTTTAATAATTGCATAACCTATTCTGCCGCGTTTCTGAAAAGTGTACAACCTTTCGTTGTCAAAGTTACAAGAAACTCAATAAGAGACAATGTGGTTGCTGGCAATATACAACGAAAAGAATGCACATTATTCAAATGTTCATTTACTGAACTGCTAACATCTAACTGGCGATCACTCAATATTTATCGCCAGGACCGACCAAGAAGAAAGAAACGGAAACTTGTTGAAATACTTTGCGCTGAGAATTCTATATTGTACCAAAAATATAATATTGAATAAAGCTGATAATAATAATAATTATTTCATATGTGAGAAACTAAGATGAATTTCAGCTAGAAGTAAACACCTAAAATGCATTTGTATCAAACATTAATTTTAATCTTATTAGAACTTTTGACGTACTTTAGTGAATTCTTCAAGAAATCATGTTGAATATCTAGAAAAAAACTGTAATTAAACTCAATGTTATCTTAATTTATCTCGTATATTACCATGACATTTACACTAATTATTGTCTTTTCTAACATACATCTTTTTCATATTAGACCTTCAGTCCAGAAATAGAATTATATGAAGGTGAACGATTAATTTTAACAGCTGAAGCTTGTGGCAATCCAATACCATTCATTAAATGGTACCTAAATGGACAACCTTTAGTTGATAGTCCAGATCATCAACAAACTCAGGTTGGACCACCAGTGTCTGATGTGAATGAATTACAGCCTCATCCAGTAATAATGACAGGACATTTAATTATGAATGAACTATTCCCAGAAGATTCTGGTCTTTACACATGTATAGCAGAAAATATAGCGGGTCAAGCAGAAGTTATGTCTAATATAAGCGTTATAACGAAAAGTAAATCATTAAGTTTCCACATTTAAATTTTTACACTTTGTGAATTGTTAATCTGTTAGCCAAATTTTTCAAAGATCATTATGAATTAAAACTAACAAAAGTGACAAGAAGCTTTGTTTTTAATATTAATTATAAGAATCCAAGTAATCATTTATATATTCCACTGCTCATTCAATGTATGAGCTTCAGTTTAGTCGAATAACAAACCATTACCTCTTTTTCTACGTCCTATGATTTGAGGACATAATTAAGGTTTAGAAAATAACTGTTAACATACTACTAGTGTGTTTAATTGATGGAAAGTAGAAATTCAAATGATTTCAAATAGTTTGATTGGAATAGTTTTCACTATATAATGGTCAGAATGAGTTTCTTCAGAAAGGTGTTTAACGTTTTTGAAAAGACACAACATATTTATTTTTATGGATTTTGGTAGAATTTCATCTACTAAGATGGATGATGGTAAATCAGTTGGTGAGGTTGTGAATCTTCATCGACTGTGATGGTTGGGCTACGTGTTACGTATGCCTGAACACCGATTACCACGACGTGCAATGCTCACTAGTGTTGAGGATGGTTGGAAGAAAGTTAGGCGTGGCCAAACCAAAACGTGGCATCAGTGCTTCAAGTCATTAACTTCTAGTCTGAGCCATGTTGGCAGATGTAAACTACTTGGTTGGGGTCCGCGTGACTATCGGAACCATTAGTTAGAGACTCCTGTCGACATGGCTCAGAATCGATCAGAATGG